GCGCCCCGCCGTCGAACATTGTTGCAGGATGTGCGATGCTCTGACAGCTCGCCCCTGGATATGCGATGACAGTTTCTACCTTTTTGGCACTGCGCCTCTCTGTGCTCCAGTTTGTCCTCCAAGTTGAACCAGTCGCGAAACAGGTCGTGCATATGTACAAGCACATGTTACAATGCCTTACGAATGGCCCATACAATGCGTTCTCATATAATATGCTTGTCCCGTTCCAGAAGCTCGGAGTCAATATCGAGTCCCCAGATCATGTTGCTCTCTCGCGTGCTTGCCGCGCCCGTCTTGCTGCGAAGTGTCCTGGCATTTGCGAGTGCTGGGGCGAGCTGCAGAAGCTCACTGAGAGCAACGCAGTATGTTATGCCAAAGTTGTCGACCCACGGGGATGGCATCGCAGGTTTTTTTTAGTGTTATTAAATTATATAAATCACATATATGTATATATGTATATGTGAATATATATATATATATATATAATATACACTGAAGATGTTTGAGGTGGTGCAGAGTGGTGTCCAGCATATTGTGCAGCTCTCCGATCTCCCCACTGCTACTCTCCAGCGGAAATTCCACGCCCGTATCCGCGCCCTTCTTCTTCCCGGACCTACGGTGCTTGAAGGCCTTCAGTATCGACTGAGAAAGTGGCTGCCTGAAGTGGATTGCAGTACTCTCTCCCATCGTGTCCTTCAAAACCGACGTAACGCAGCAGCGACTTCCCCTTGCATTGCCATGTGTGTTCTTCGTTTCTGCACGCGCGGTGTGTGCACGAGTGCTCGCTTCCACTCTCATCCTCGCGGCTGTATCTTTGGGTGTACTCGTCGGGAATGTGGGTTTGATGTGCCTCGGGACTATGCTGATCTACGTCGTTGCAAATTCTGCCACCGCTTCCGCGAGTTATGTGTCCAACGGATGGGTACTGCGTTTCCAGTTGCCCCTGTGATGCATGGATTGCCGCGCTGATTCAACTATATCCTCTTCCCCCGAATGTGTCGCTGCTGCGTGCCTGCATGTGTGATGCTTTCTTGCGTGCTCACCACTGTGTGAGGCTGATCCTGCCTGGTACGGCCCAGCAGCACTTTGAAGCTCGCCTCCGTCTTTTGACTTGGAGGCATGTCGCTGTTGCCGAGGCGTGGGTTGACCTCCGTGCATGGCCTGGGTGGCTAGTCCCTGCTGGTGTGTCTTTGGGAACCGAAACAGCTATGTCTCATTTGTTTGTTTATATATATATATATATATATATATATTATCAATATATATACATATTATTATCATTATTATTATTATTAGCATTACTATATATATATATTAAAAATAAAGATGCGTTTATATATAAATATATACAAACAAATGAACAACTTATATGTACATAGTAACACATGTATGGGTATATGTGTATGTATGTGTGCATGTGTGTATATATATATATGTATGTATAGAGATGGCTTCTTAGATCGGTCAGGCAAGTACGAGAGGACCATCGGTGAGCTCCTTGCTTCCTGGCCTTTTTGCCGGCGGAGGGGCCCAGCTTCGTGCAGTGCGCTGTCCTGCCCCTTCTCCGACTGTAGATGGGGTCGACGATGGATCGCGCCGCGTGGCCGATGTATCGGCGATGCGGCGCGATCCTCCGTCCCCATCTGCTCGGACCCCGTGTCGGAGGCTTCCAGGGAAAGTCCCGTACCTACCTCAACAGCGTCTTGAAGAGCACAAGAAAGAGAGAGAGAGAGAGAGAGAGAGAGAGAGAGAGAAAGAGAGAAAGAGAGAGAGAGAGAGAGAGAGAGGGAGACAGAGAGAGAGAGAGAGAGAAAGAGGAAGAGGAAGGTACGATCGGCTCGCTCCACGTCGACGCGGCGGCGAACCGGGCGCGGGCGTTCAAGATTAAACGCCGCCAGTGGCCCTGAATCAGCTGTTATGTCGAACCATTTTGCGCTCCCAGGAAACCACAATCGTACAAGGTTGATAGATCCACGCGGAGTGAGAAACCTGCGCCGATGTCGTCACGACACGAGCCTGCCGTACCTCAGCGTCTGGATCAAAAGGAGAAAAAGCGGCATAAACATGAACTTTCGGCGCTCCGCGCGGATTTCTCGGATCGGCGCTGGGCCCCCGCTGGCGGCGCCTCCGGCGCCGCCCCCGACGCGCGGGGCGTTCAGCGCAGATCCAAGAAATCCGCGCTGATTTCGAAAAGTCTATGTTTATGCAGTTGTTCCTTTTCTACTTGGGCAGAATTGTTGACGCTTCGTGAATCCCTACCAGCCCATCCAGACACGATGCCCAGAGGAATTGCCTCGATCAGGGAAGCGGGCAACACACAGAGGAAGGCTCCCCCAGTGGTGGCTTGTTGGAGCGTCTTGGGGGCCTCTTAGCGGTCCCGGGCGCCTCTTAGAGCGTCTTGGGGGCCTCGGAGAGTTTCTTGGGGCCTCTTAGGGATCTCTTGGGAGCCTCTCGGAGGCCCCTTGGGCGCCTCCTGGGGCCTCCTGGGGCCTCCTGGACGCCTCTTGGGGCCCTCTTGAAGCGCTCTTGGGGGCCTTGGGAGCGCTCTTGGAGCCCTCTTGGGTCATCTTGGAGCCATCTTGAGGCCTCGGCGGGAAAGCTACAAACATGGATTCCCTCAAGGTTTTGGAAGGATTTTGGCCTCTTCGGAGCCTCCTGGGGGAGGTCTTTGGCCACTTGGAACCGTCCTGGAGCGGTCTTGGGGCCTCTTGGAGCATCGTGGGCGCCATGTTGAGGCATCTTGGGATAGCCATCTTGGAGATCATCTTTGGCTCTACCAGGCGCTCTTGGAGTCATCTGAAGCAGTGCCCCCCCCCCAGGAGGCCAACATGTGGCCAAAACCTCAGTAACATCAGCGATTTTGGCATTGTCGCCGAGGCCTCTTGGAGCGTCTTGGGTGCCTCAGGGGGGCCTCTCGGGGCCTCTTGGAGGTCTCTTGGGGGTCTCTTGGGAGCCTCTTGGGGGCATCCTGGGGGCCTCCTGGGGGCCTCCTGGGGGCCTCTTTGGGGCTTCCTGGCCACCTCTTGGAGCCCTCTTGGGGCACCCTTGGGAGCCTTGGGGGCCATCTTTGGGCCATCTTGGGTGAGATCGATCACAGGAGGGGGGGGGACGGATTACAGTCGCCCCCCCAGGAGGCCAAAACGGGGCCAAAACCCTTTAGTAAAATCGATGATTGTCGCTTTCTCGCCGAGGCCGTTTTGGACGTTCCGACACCTCGCGAAACCCCCGGTCCAGGTCCACGGGGAGGGAGTGGGGGGAGGGGTCAAGACTCCCTCCCCGCCCGCAAGCCGTCTCGCTCACTCCCACCCGCCCTCCCAACACATACGTAGCCCGAGCCGCAGCATATGCAGCAGTCGTCTTCGAATGGGCAGCTACTGGGGGGCCAATCCGCCGCCGCCGCCTCCGCCGCCGCTGTCGCCGCCCGCCGCCGCCGCCGCCGCCGCGCCGCCGCCGCCGCCGCTGGCCGCCACCGCCGCCGCCACCGCTCTACCTGCCGCCGCCGCCGCCCGCCGCCGCCGCCGCCGCCCGCGCCGCCCCGCTGCCGAATCGCCGCAGCCGCAGCCGCTGCCGCCACCGCAGCCGCTGCCGCCACCGCAGCCGCCGCCGCCTCCACCACCGCCGCCGCCGCCGCCGCCGCCGCCGCCGCCGCCGCCGCCACCGCCACCGCCACCGCCGCCGCCGCAGCCACCGCAGCCGCTGCCCCCGCCGCAGCCGCCGCAGCCGCCGCCACCGCCAAGTGTACTCTGTAGTGCTTTTTTGACAGGGATGGTGGGGGGAGGCCGCATCGGGTTCGCTGCGCATGCTCCGAATTTGGAGACAGTGTCTTTCGTGTGGTTTTTTGCAAGGGATGGCGGGGGGGGGGTGCCCGCATTGACCCTGGTTTTCTCCCAGTCGCCTCGGGGAGGGGGTGTATACAAATAGGGAACAGTGATCAATCCCTCCCCGAAGGGGAACAAGGAGGGGTGGAATAGGAAACGCTGTAACCCACCGACGCCCAGAGAGGGTGGGATTCAAGAGAGAGGCATGTCACGTACTCCTTTCTCGGCTTCCATGACGGCCGCGCTTGGGTTGCGGGGCTGTCAAGAGAGTTGCTCCAGATGAGAAGAGCTGGAGGTCTGGAGAAGGGGGCCGCCCGGTCAAACAAGCCCGGGTGCGCGGAGGTCTGGACGATGGCTTTTCCGCCTTGACCCTGCCTGGAGCTCTTTAGGATTCCCATGCCAGAGACAAGTACCATCTCCCGACCAGGAGGGGTAGGACGAGGAGGCGGGGAATGATTGTATTGGACCCGCCGACAGCCAACAACGCCTATTTTGCAAGCCTTTGTGCGATGGCACTAACAAGGGCATGCATGAGAGTGTCTGGCGCTTGGGCGTACCACTTCTTTGAGGGGTGCTCCTGCTCCGCTACTCGCTTCCAGCGGGAGCTCAGGAGGAGAAGATGAGCAGGATGAGGAGCAGCAGGAGGAAGAGACAGAGGAGGAGGAGGACGAGGAGGATGGTGGTGATGGTGATGGTAATGGTGATGGTGATGGTGATGATGGTGGTGACGATGATGATGATGCTGATGATGATGACGACGATGACGATGACGATTGAGATGATGCTGATGCTGCTGATGATGATGAGAATGACGATGATGCTGATGATGCTGATACTGGTGATGTTGATGATGAGGATTACGATGCCCATGTTGATGACGTTGATGAGGATGATGGTGGCGATGATGAGGATTATGTCGATGATGCTGCTGCTGATGATGATGATGATGATGGTGATGAGTATGATGATCCTGTCGACGACGATTATGCTGATGATAGGACGGTGATGACGACGCTGACAATGCTGTTGATGATCCTGCGGCTGATGATGGCGATGCTGATGAGTTTGAT